TACTGACGGCAATAACGAAATCGCAAAAAAAGTATCAAAACTAAATACAAGTAGGCATGTTTATCTTATATTTTTATGTCAACAGATTGACGTGATATTTTAGAATAGTAATGTTTTTATTTTGACGCAAGAAGACGCACCGCGAGTTACGTTGGACACAATTATATTAATATAAAAAGGAATTTACGATTCTCGTAGCTGTCATGGATTGAAAATTTTACACAACAGCAAAGTCGGTATACACTGAAAAAGTAGGCTTTTTTAACGAGCGCGTAATTGCGGTGACTGTTTCAAAAGGGACTTTTGAAAATCCTGGCTGCGCGCTTGTTATTGCATGCATTCAGAATAATTCATCAATTAACTCTCATAGATTAATTCCAACGAGTATATGAAGAGGGTTTGTATTTCATTGTTCGGGAGCATGCGATTATATAAGGTTAATAAATAATTAACAGCAACTCAGAAAGTTTTAGTTTCATATATTATTTTAACATTCAGACTGTTCACCACCATCACATTTAAAATTTGTATGCATACAAAACTAGGTGTAAACCAAGCAATCAGTTATTTCAAAAAGGCTTTACTCAAAAGATACCAATATTTGTATTCATAATATTCTCTAAACAATAAATGTCTTAAAAACCAATCACAGGAATACCGAAACCTTCATGGGTTATTCAATTCATTCTTACACATACTTTGTGTTGTCTTGAATTTTTAAATATGTAATATACATAATAGAAATGCAATCCAATACCAAGTATATGTGTGCCATAAAATATTTAAAATGGAACCCATAACGCATTGCCAACATTAAAATTGTGTCATGCAACTGTGAAATGGGTATATAAATCAGGAAATTGAACACCAAAATACATATTCATACTGCCGTAACAAAATAAAATACTAATACACAGTCAAAGCTACTTCTTCTGTAGGATACTTGTACAAACCATCTGAATATTCGCTTTTCTTCCATGAACATACAAGGATGGACAATAGAATAAGTTCTCAATGCGCTTTCTTCGGTATTACCAGCAAAGAAGAATCAGAACTAAAATGCGATATATTTTTTTATAAATATGATAATTGGATGAAATTTTACAAAATTATGAAAATTATGTGAAAATTCAGAAAACCGCAAAACATTCAAATAAAACCAGGCGCGAGAATTAGACATAACGTTACGCACAACTTAAATATACCTTATCACAGTACCAGATATTGTAAAGAAATAAAATCGCATTTCTACATGTTGACATGGCATGGCGATGCTTCAGAGGAGTTGTTCATCGATGTACATCGATTCAAAATTCACCTGAATCTGTCAACTGCTCAATAGCTAATTCTGTAATATCAGAATTTAGACAACCCACTGACCCAGCAGACTGACGAAGCAACATTTCTGACTCTGACATTATGTGTCAGAGGATTACTTTTCACCGCCTAGAGTTGTTTATGTAAACGCTGGTAGGTTACGATGACAGAGCTATGTAGGTCTATATATTTCCAGTTCAGTGATTAGGGCTTCCTTCACCACCAAGTCCATGCATCTGAAACAAAAAACTAATTTCATACCAGACACGGACTGGTGGCCGGAGGAGAATTCGTGGTACGCCATATGATTAGGCCGTCCCGTTGGCTACCTCCCCCTACCCCCGTCGTAACTATAAAATAATTGTCTCGCAAAATTCAATACATTGTCGCGTAATTTCAGTAGCATAGTTGCCGAGTATGCACACCACAGTACAGGATGTAAATTTATTTGTGCATTTCCAATGGTGTACAAGTTTTTTGTATATATTGTTTTTTGTGTGTGATGATTTCAGAATATTATGACCTATAATGTACTAAAAAAATGAGGGAATCTTGTAGCAGAGGTTTTATCATACCCATTGGAAGGCTGATGCCGATATTACTCATATTTTAGGCCCATTCTGACGCTAGTCAATTTTCCCGCCGAAGTGACGAAGGTGCAATGTACAATGTGAGGTGCTCGCCTGTCTGCAGGGCAGTAAAGAAAATATGCAGAGATAACTAGTAAAATTTTCATACCACATATCGCTATTAGTCAAACAACAGATAAATTCCGCTCCAAACGAAACAAGCGATACGGCGTCCGCAATTTGATCTACAAGGTGGTACGAATGCATCAACAGCGAGGCGGAAACGTAGATTAAGCTTTTATTTAACCCCTAAATATGCTGATTATCAAAAGGAACTGCACAACTGAAAAGCCTTAAATTTCTTCCGAAAAGAATTTTTTTTAAACGACAAATATGTCGACAACTGCTAATCTACTTGTTTTTCCGCCTTCGACAAAAAAAATCACAACAAGACAGTACTTTTTATGATTTAGGTCAGTGGTTCATATAACCGTTTCTAATCTCCCACCTTTTTGCCTAACTCTTCATTGAAACCCTCACTGTGCACAAAAACTCTGTTTAAGTTTGCGGTTCAATATTTAATGAATCATTATCTAGTGGTGTGCGCAACTCGCATTATGGCTTTTGTACAGTTTGCAATACATGCATATGAATATGTATTACAACAAAAAGTAAAAATATTAGTAATTCAAATGCATTATACAATACAAAGAATGTGTCTCAATAATAGATGGATGCAAATATCCACAACCGCAATAGAGAAACCAGATGGTTCAATACTCAAAGTATTTCTTGAATTGGCGAGAGGAAAGCCGCTGTTGATACAGTGGCGTAAAATAGCGCCTAACCAAACTTCAAAAAGCGCCCCTTGATCGTTGATAAATTTTAATAACGGCTGTTGTTGAAATAACTATTTTGTACGTTATTATTTGAATAAAAATAAGAGTTTCGATTATTACCAATTTGAAATTGTTTTATTGAAACATTTTACAAATAAACGTCTTCTCCCCGTTTGAGCCTCTGTCCAAACGCCGACCATGGCAAAATTTGACAGATTGTGCTAGCTTCGGTAAGGCATTTTCTGAAATATAGACGAGCAGAAGTTTCGTTGTAACAAAACTATTTATTTTGCGAACGATGATAATTGTCCTAATGACCATGATAACTGTAGCAAATGTGAATTAAAGGTCATTTGGCTATTTGTCGGAGAGCAAGCTTACGTGAGCATGCAAAGTCTGACGTCCGCAATAATGGAAACTAAATTGACAATAAACCCATTATGACGCTTGCATTGATTTTCCTAACTTTGAGTTTTCCAACAGATAAAATAATCACGATCATTCTAGTATTTAAATGCTTTCGGAATCGAATTGTGAAACGTTCTAATCGTCTCTGGTTCTACTCCTAACGTAATTGACAGGGCAAATTGATAATATTGCCCATTTGTAATTTGCTTTCATATTGCCAAACTAAACCGATTAAAATATTAACATGTTTAACTGCAATAATTTTATGTGATAAAACTAGAGGTTGTATTGGCCAGAAGTTGTGAAAATATGTGCTATTTCAACAACGATGCTCTATGCTTGGGAATAAGAATGACATTGCTACCGTCCCATGAAGTTTCTGTGTTTTAGAGGGGTTAGACACAAATAGCACACTTAAATACGTTGTTTGGTCCATCGCTATTAAAAATGATAGTTTTTTCATAAATGAGTAGTTGGGTATCAAATCAGACGAGGTAATTTTTTAAATATTTTTTTCCCGGTATTTATTTTTATGACCGTGCTCTATCGCTCTCTATTAGTTCACGGAACAGTGGAAAAATACATGTAATTTTTGTATAGTTCGAATTTTGCCAATTCTGTGGAACCATTGAATTTTGTGCCATTGTTTTTTGTGCCATTTATAATCGAATTCCATTGACTGTAATTTTGAACAATTTTGAAATATAATAATGAAACTTTATACGCCTGAATACTAACTACTTCGAAAATCACTTCTCATCCACGAGAGCAATTGAAAATGACGTATTAAAGTTCACGCCCATTGTGGTTTTTCAATATATACACGGCGGAAGGAGATATTTTTGATAAAGCATCAAACGTCTTGTATACGAAGAACTAGCCGCACAAGGCTGCACACAACTATAATATTCTCCCATATTTTGAAACAGAATGTCTCCAACATATTTTGAATCGATTGCCCATTTTTAATACTGTTTAAACGTTTTAGCTCATTTTGAATCTTTAGTAACAATCAGAACGCTTCTTCTTGAACCCAATCGATAATGCAATGCAATTTTTTCTTCGTTATTTTGATTTACATATTCAAATTTGCCTTCTATTAAAAAAGTATCGGCCACGCAGGTAGAAATGATGTTCGCTCTGTAGACAGAAAATGAAGTAATAAATGTGTTTGTCTTCACTCATACCCCCGACGACGAAATCCGATGCGGTACAGAATAAATTATTAATGTCAATATCGGTGCCAAAATGAGCTGCCTGGATTCCATGCGTCGTCATCATCCAATTTGTCTATCACCGCTTGCAAAGGATGCGCTCGCTCTATATCTCTTTTTAATTTCTCAGCGATTTTCTGTTTAAGATTGAATACAAGGTGATGACGAATTTTGTTCCTGCGTGCCTAAGTTGAGTGAGGGTCTAGCTATAAGGTAATTAAAGACTGATTGCGAATTTTGTAAAGATTGATATATTTTTGACTCTCGTATATTCAACACCGCGGAAATGATATAAATCTAACTATGAAAACACTTATACTGTATATACATCGCTAGGACTATTGATGAGTTGTTTGTTTATATGCTATTACTACTGCGAACTACCACAAAGACAAATGCAGTAGAGAAGTTCTAGACAAAGTTAGAGCAAGTTGCAACCGAATTAGGCCAATTCATGAAGCGTAGTATATACTATATAAGTTTTATATCGTATATATTATAAAATGTGCGCATAATGTAAATTTTCTGCAAAATAGGCAAGGTCTGCTTTGGAAATATTATCAGGTTTTTGGTTTTCGCAGTAAATCCACATTATTTTATTAACTTTCCTATTGTTTTGTTTTTTATTTAGCAGGTCATTCACACGAGAAAAATTTGTTATTTTGAAATACTTTATGTTGTTAAAATTTGCACAATTAACTGACATTTAGGAACTCCTTTACTGCAAATGTGAAAGTGAGACAATCATTGTTTTACGTATGATCTGACGAAAAGACCAAACTATCGATTTGTAGAAGTAATCATGAGAGTTTTCTCTGCCATTTACTTCTTTTTCGTTCTACAATTTTCTAATTCTAAGATTCGTTTCGGGAATAATGTTGTTCAAGCTAGCGTCTCGCACATCACAAGATTAAAAAGAGACGCTTCAGAGGGCGACAGCCCAAGAGAACCAGATCCAAACCTTGCACTAGAAGGAAACTGTATTGTGGTATGTGATGCAAATATCGATGGACTTAATTCCCAGTTTAAAGCAGGAAGCAAATCTACACCTTCGGATTCATCACGATTTAAAAGTCGTGATAGTTTTCGCAAAACTCCCGGACCAATGGGTTCGGCCACAAGCTTTTGGGACAGAATGTCGTCTTCTGCCTGTGGGGGCACTGTAGGATCTGCAAGACGAGAGAGAAGAGTGGCATTTTCCGTGAAGCGCAGCACAGAACTGGCAACCGCAAATACGGCTTTGAATGGCGGTACCACTGTGACTTTTGATCATGTCATGGTCAACGCTGGAAACGCGTTCGACATGGAGAGCAGCAATTTTGTAGCACCGGTGAATGGAGTGTACTCGATATCTTTTCAAATTTACAGATTATACAACAAGAATCCGTTGACGATAGATTTGCACGTAAGTGAAGTATCATTTTATAACAACAATTGACTTTGCACTAAACCAAACAATATTGAAAATTGCTGTAGGCAATTTAATGTAATACCAAATCCTACACTCTGGTGCTCTGGTCGATTATGCTCAACTAGAATTTATTACACTCGAAACTCGTTGTTTACTTGCACATAAATTTGAACGTCGGTTTCAGAAACATGCGATGCTAATCAAGAATTCAGGTTTAGAATTTAGAATCTTGACATGGCTTGCAGATGTGCATGCGGTTCTTTACGTACGTGTTTTTTTTTTTCAATGGTATCTTAACCTGTGGTAGGGTTACTTAAATTCCAGGCATATGGTCTTATTGACATATGTGCCATGAAGCAGTGCAGATAAGACAGGGGAATTGGAAATGTATTTTACATTCGTTACGCCACCATATCATATATCAAAAAACTGTCTGTCAAAGGATTTATTGTGTATTGGTTATGCGTGAAATATAATATGGCTAAAAGCAGGGATGTACAATTGTTTTTTGCTTGCGGGCTATATCGTGGCAGTGCAGTAGTAGGCAAGTTCCTCACTTATTAATTAGCGTAATTTGTATTTTAAATTGCTCTAAAATCAAAACTAACAATTGCCAGTAAAATAGAGCACCGTGGTGTTATTCAATCTAAAAGCAGTCACATATATTTTCAAAATTTCATCACCAAAAAAATGTACCCGATTTTATTTACAATATTTTTTTAAGTCTGAAATCCCATCGCTTGTTGGGATTGGGATCTGTCCATATAGGCATTTATACAAATTCCTCTAATCTTTATAAACAAATCTATGTATATACTATAACTAAAATATAGGAAACGTGGAAATTTTTCAGCAGATATGGGCCTATAGAGAACAATCAATGTTTTCTCAGGAAGAATTTATTTTATTCGCGCCTCTGAATTTGTAGTTTGGCGCTATGAATCTAACGGGATTTCAGTCGATCAAATATTATCATCAAGTAGTTTCTTTTGCGTCTTTCTCGGGTCGCACAAAAATTCGCCAAGGGTCTCAAATGGCCCATGGAAAGAATTTTGCCCATTTCTGGCTTTAAGCATATCAATTTCGATTTATTAGGAATATCGAAAACCCTCACAATATTCTATAGTATTTAAAATTCTCTCATATGAAAATATGGGCAGTTGTTTCGCAAGATTTATCTTAGCTTGTACATAATCAGGCCTAATTAACCCGTTTGTTGAGCAGAATGCTGATTTCTGCCTTGGAAATTGAACAAATAATTCCTAAATAAAGACAAATCGGTGCTCCCGAAGTATGCGAACCAAGATGGCGGACATCGGAATGTAATATGTGTAGGGCTGGGCATTTCGAATCGAATATTCGAATCGAATCGAATAGTAAATTATTCGAATCGGTTTAGAGCAAATTTTCGAATCGCCGCCATCTTGATTTACTCTTTCCGCCAATGGTCGAGGTAAATTTCTCAATTTTTTTTTCATTGAAGCCATATTTTTTCAACACAATTCTGACTTATGACTTTTTTCTGTATTGAGGTATTGATGAAAACGTTTTTTTTATTGTCATTGATGTATTCTATGTTTTCAGTAATTTATGTGTCTGAAGGACCTAAAATACTAATAAATTTACATACAATTTCATACCTTCCAAGTATTCGAGATTCGATTCGATTCGAAAAAAATATTCGATTCGATTCTGAAATCATCAGGTATTCGAAAATGCCCAGCCCTAAATATGTGTACTAGGTTAGGGTTAGGCCATAATTTTAGATATAAATACTACGGGAGGCTCTTGGCTAGTCTTCGAACTGATAATAGGACTAAAATAAGGAAAATTGGAAAAAAATTATGGCCTAACCCTAACCTGTTACCCATGTTACGTTCCGATGTCCGCCATCTTGGTTCGCATACTTCGGGAGCACCGACAAATCTTTAGCATAACTATTTAAAAATACATATGATTGATGTACAAGTTTGAAATGAAAAGCATATTAACCCAACTTTCTGGTTTTAAAATGAGTTTATTCGTATATTAAATAGTCAGATTACAACAGTTTATTTTAATTCTTAACATAATAAACTAGTTTTGAATATGAAATCAGACAATCTGTTATTTATAAACCATATTAAAAAAAAGAATTGACTCCTGAAAATAAACATAAATTGTATCTGAATAAATTAAAACAAATAGCATTAAATTAAAAAATAATTCCATTTTACATCACTCTCCTTTGTACAATGTTTTTGTATTTGTTTTCAACTTCCACAAAGTATCAGAAAACATTTATTATTGAGTTATTCGTGTTGTTTGATATTCCTAAGTTTCCAAATCTAAGTGAAACAATTAGGAAAAATAATGACACAAAAGATTTGCATAGACAAATATTTCGAGTTATGGATTCATTTTGTTTGTAATTCAATAAAATTTATTTGACTCCATCAAATATTAATTTTTTTTATTTAAGTCAGCGCTGTTTTTTCAAAATTTTCAATAAAAATATATTTCGTCAGGAATCAGACTTGTATATAATTGAATTTTCCAGAAAATTATAAATTTGGTTTATATTTCAACTCGTTTGAGTGCAGATTTCATCACGCGCGAATCCTAATCATGGAAAATTGCATAATTTCAATATTAATCTGTCCTAATTCTCAAATTTGAATCGATTTTGATAATGAATTATACATGAAATGTCGTAACAAGTAATAAACTAAGCTTAACCAGGTAGCTTTGAATTTTGACGAATACGCCGTAAACAGTAAAATATATTAACTTATAAAAAAATGGTCAGTTAATGTGAATTTATAATATGGTAATGGGGATTTAATGCTGAGTTTAATTATTTAAACTGAATTATTATTCGAAATCTAATTCAATATCCAATCTAATATTAACTGGTATAAAAATCATTCTAGTAATATTATCAAATATGATTTCCATCACTTGCACTTTTCAATTGAAATAAAGTAATAGATAAAGTACAAAATTGCAAAATTTGCTCATCTTATGCCTATATTTGCACTCGGAGCGTTGGTTACGTTTGTTTTCAACAGTTTCTAATATTTAGTTACATGTATTTTCGCATATTTTACGAGTCATAAAAATAATTCCGAAATTTTAAGCTTGATGGCCAAAAGACATTTCAATGCATTTGAGCTCACTTCTTCATCGAATTTGTTGATATTTTAACATCATCTTTTGATTGTGTCCGAAAGGAAAAAAAGAATTTATTATCTTTAAAAAGTATAGGGAGAAGTATTTTAAAAAAAACATATTTTATTTGAATACTCGTTTCAATTCATCAACTTTTTGTCCACGATGCAGAGAAATAATTATACATTTATACTTGGTATGATATTATATACGGTTGACAAATCGGCCCACGAAAATAATAAGAATGCAGTGTTTTTAATATCTTGCGAAAATGGGTAAACATCACAGTGCCAATCGGCTTTTTTCCGGTTACCGGTTAATGACTGTGAGAGATCTGACAGTACCCCGAAAAAAAACTATGCGTTATCTGTAATATCTGGCTTCTGGATATTTTTATTATTTATAACTCTAAATAAAATCATCATACCAAGCTTGATCATGTGTATTATGAATGTTAAGTTCACTGCTCTTTATATCTCGATCGCACTTTGTTTATATTTTCTTCATCGGAGAATGAATAATCTCCAAGGAAAAAAGACAACTTTAGTTATTCTCTACCGAAACATCTAAACATTTTTCTCGATAAAGCACTGACCGCATGATTGCAATACGGTTATCTTACCGTTCTATACTAGTGTGGGTAAATCCAAAGACTGTTCGAGTTACCGAATATATTTTGACATTCGTGATAAAATATAATGTGTAAATGCAGAGTGCCAGATTGGTATTGATAGCGTGGATTTTCCGTAGAATTATTTTGCAATTCTTAGCCAGCAAGATTGCAACAGTATGTCGCGAAAACTCAAGGATTTGTTTAGATTGTATACAACTAAAAAGTTGAAAAATGCTGGGGTAATTATGGCTGAAAAGTCTCAAAATCAAATATTTTATTCAAATTTGAACTCGCAATAATTCTGAAGAAAATCGATATTTTTTGTTTGAGAATGGGATTCAATTACCTGACATGACATCATAACCTATCGCCATATGTATTTCGTGTGTATACGCAAAAATGACACTCTATGCTACTCTTCCACCACATACTACATAATTCATAGAATATCTAATGCAAATGTATACATGTCAAGATAAAAACTAATTATCTTTCGTGCTTTAAGCAATAAATTTCAAAACATGGTCTAAAGTTTCAAAATAAGTTCTAAAGAGTTTTAAAAACTTCGGTGAATTAGATTATTAGGATAAAACTCCGTTAGGCTCATTCACGAATGGGTAGCTAGCAAGAGGTGAAAGTGAATCTTGACAAAAGTTAAATTCATAGTTAAATTAAACGAACACAAAAATAAATTCAAAATTTTCGAGAATTTACAAATTGCGGGATTAAACAATACGCTGGCAAAATGATATTTCGATTTGTTCCGCTGATCTGACGACAACATGAATGATATACGATGAGCGGATGGCATTTAGAGAGTAATCATGAAATGTTTTTTTTACCTTCCGTCCGCTAATTCTAGGTCGTATATCAAAGAAAATCATTGAATCTATTTCACTTTAATATATGAAATTTTGAGCAAGATTTGCCTATGTTCTACAATATATAGATATTTATGAATACTGCTATTGGATTTTAAATTGTTTTACGTTTCCGCTAGCAGTGAAAAGAGATTCGAGCTGGTTTGTTGATCTCATACAATATCTATTTCGGCCAACGTACAATTCGCTGGCGTTTGAGTTTAATACGTGATAATTTTCGCCGTTACATCGATTTCCATCCGACACAAAGTTGTGCTTGTTGTATGACGTGAATAAGGTAGAATGGAGAAAAATGATTAAATTCTTTCGACATCTCGATTTCGTCAAGTCAGTTGATATTAAGCACGCGGGTTTAATCTGCTGTCTGCACATTGTAGTCCCTTGAGAATCAGGCTAATAAAATATCTTCGGTACAACAGAGTGATTTATTGAATTCAGTCCTAAACGTGATTAAAATCAATCTCGCGTAAATAAAAGGAAATTTCAAATGCGTTTGCAAATTGAACAGAACCTAAATCACTTATGAAATGTTTAATAACAGCACAAACTTTGGATTCCTCTCTGGACTTGAGGTTTGTCTGATTTATACCTAACATTAGTTAGCAATAACAATGTTTCGGCAGCTTATACAAAAAAATATTAGTTTAAATGTTTCGTGTTGGAATGGTAGTTTCCGATTAAATTTGCCTGTAGTAAGACCAAAGTATTCAACTCCAATGAAAGTTTTGTCAAGACGACACCTTAAGCTACATAATGAATACTTCGTCTAAATGTGGCAAATGTGAACTAACACGGCAATAAGATATCCGTTGAGGAAAATAGCAATTGGTTGTGATTGTATGTCGCTGATATCTAAAGTATCGAATAGAATCACGCAGCCGGAAGTTGATTCTTCCAACAAAGCGCAGCGGTTCTTCTTGCGACTATGTTTGAGCGCACAAGATCATGAATATCGATGAGAAACTGTTTAAGAATATTTTTCCAACCAAGTCTAAATCATAAATGATTTTTTTTAATTGTTCAAGGTATATATTCCATACACAGCTTAATTGTCTCCATCGAAACGTTACCTCATTTTAATAGCTGGACCAGATTTAGTGAGTTAACTTTCAAATTGACAATGTGAATAATTCATGAAAGATCAGAACTTCTTCCTAATGGCTATCACAATCGCATAATGTAAGCACCGTCCAAAACAGGCCATAGATGATTTCAAGGTATGCTTTTTATCAGTTATAGCATGGAATGTTTGCTCGCTGACCGGTTTGTTCCTTTGACAGGCAAAATATTGATTGATAACACAACTTTGCCGTACCACAATATTATGAATTTTGTCATCAATTAAATTGCTAGAATTAAATTAATCAAAATACATCCATAAAGCAAAATACAGTATATTAAACTACAATTTTATAGAGAGACGATTTAAAACATTGTCCGGGTAAATAAAATCACTACTTATATATCGATTTCCTCCTTCGAATAACCTTAACCATCAAAGGAAAGAGTGTTTTGGATCCTGACATAATCTTTCTCTACAATCTTCCATCTTGCCTACTGCCATTAGCTTTGGCAAACTGTCAAATTTTGATTTATGATTTGGTACATTCAAAGCTATATAGATGAAAATTCCAAAACACAGCCATGCATTGAATTGTCATGTACTTCGTTGTGACAAACCTTGCGTATCTACGTAGCATACGGAGAGGCGAATTATACCAAAAATATTATGTTTATAGAAGCAATACAATATAATTGCAAACGGCAGATCATCTAAACTAAAACAAAATTTTGGTTATATCAATAATATGACAAACATAACACCAAATACTTGAGCAGTCGAAATTCATTTGGATCATTTGTGATGAATCACCGATGTTGACTCGGGTCGTTTCTGCTTTGGTCAAGTGCATTCAGTTGCAGAGTGGATTATAAGCAACTTCTTTTTAATGGATATGAAAGGTCACAAAAACAGCTAATCTAAATTATGAATCACAAATTTTGTGTTCACGATGAACGATTGATTTAATGAATAAGATTAAATTGTTATTACAGTGTTCATGGATGATGTTCATCATTTTATTGAATTTTCTTCTGTTCTGGCCGCCAAAGATCCCAATCTTTCTTTTATTATCAGACTCATGAAAACTATTATGATGTGTGAAATTTCATCTCATTCGCTTGTTAAACAGACACAACATATTAAGTATACTTCACTACTTTGGAATGATCGCGATTTTGTATTATTTGTTCTCAATAACCTTTCCTTAGTTACAGAAATATATTCGTGTTACTGTGCAAGCAAGACTCTAGAATCACTTATGGCATGCATAGATTTCGAAAATAAAGTATCAATAAAAGACTTTTATACGTTTTTCTTTTTAAAGGATTATTTTATTTTTTTCTTATAATCTCAGCATTTCAAATTTTTTTTTTACATAAACGCACAGAGTAAAAAATGTAATATTGTATTCTTTTTTAGGTCAATGGTCGAATGGTACTTAGAGGATTTGCAGACGGCGACAGTGCAAACCACAAAGCGGCACACAACAGCGGACTTCTTCGATTAAATGCTCGGGATCGAGTTTCTGTACAAGTCAGTAGTGGAAATTTAGAAAGCGGTTGGAAGTACTCAACCTTTTCCGGTCATCTCCTATTTGAAAACGAAGATTAGCAATAATCGCCAGTTCAGCTTTATACTCTGCTATATCTCAAAAGTTTAAATAAACGTCATATTAAGCTACTTCGCAAGATACCTGGAGTCATGAACCAACAATAATTGGATCTGACAACATACATGCAGTTCAATCTATATGGTATAGACGAGACAAAGAACGTGAGCCGTAACATAAGACCTGTGGGAATGTCTGTTATTTGTATTATATATATATAATGATTAGAAACATTCTTCACCACACATCAATTGGCTGAATCATTTTCCTGTTTATGTAGTTTTATATTGAACAAATTAAAACGTTATTATCGAAGTTCTCACAGGAATGCTGCAGTATATTTTATAACCGCAACCTTGAAACTAGTTAATGATACGTCCTCATATGGCATTTTTCGTCATATTTGTGCTGGTGCATCCTCGATGGTCTTCGGCCGTTTGGACCCAAGTCAAAAGAGACTGTAATCATGTGTAATGATACCCATAGCGGTGGCCAATTTTTGGCAAAATAATATATTTTGCCAATCCCAAGTCTTGTAGTATTATTTTTATTAAAGTCATAACTTTCATCTCATTCCAAGTCAAAGTGATTGTTGACCTGTTTAATGTTCATTTAAGTATGATATCGTAGTGAGTAATATCTGCGATTTTATTCAGTATTACGGTTGATAAGCGTCTATACAAAATTTTGCGCCAATGGTATTTTATGATCACATTACATTTTAAGAACTGATCTAGCGATATCAGATATTATTTCATTTGTTTCCAACGATGTATGTGGGTGGCAAGTGTTTTCAAGTTTCCTGTGGGTGAATCTTTCGTTAAGTATTTCACAAAACATTCACTCAGACTCGGCTAACGAAATTCCATCGAATTGATAAGACAATTTACAATTGTGCTATGAAAAGTTGTATAACAGTGGAGTTGGATGGTGGTAACTTTAATGCGCATAAATTCAAAACTGTCTCAAAGTAGAATTGACGTTAATACAGTTTCGAACTCATGAAAAGATTTGCTGTAGCATTATAAACGTTTTCGTAATTCAAATATGTGCAAATCTGAGTTATCGCATTTGAATTTAGTAGAACCGTGTACCAGAAATCGCTTCCGTTCTGATATAAGTGCTTCATGTGTAAGAATCAAAACTAAACACAAGCAACCAAAGATTACGAGACCACTTCTCTAATGTTCAGAATATAAGATCCCAGGTAGAAGAAAGTCTTCAAGATGGCTTAACATATCACTAACCACGGCTTCCTCCGGTTATCAGTCCAGGCTGAGTAAGGAACTAGTTACCATTACATTGTACTGAGCGCGTGGACTTCGATTGTAATGCAAGCCGCTACCGCCCGCGACAGATAACAGACGTGTTCAAATAGAGCTCAGCTCAAAAGGCCAATCGTAGAATCTCTAATAATTTGACAAGCAGGAACAAAAGCAAGTGAAGAGTGTCCCAACTTTCTGCAGTAGTTCATCAACAAGAAATTTATTTCTCTTGTTTGATATTCATTTGTGTTCGAGCTATCAAAAAATTGCAACCTATTACATACTAGAAAGTATATTTGTCGGTGTGGTTCTGGAATAACAATTTTCAATATTTGGATACTGCGTAGAACTTGACTTGTTTCTGAAATGTTTTCGCAATTTCGAGACGAGTGTTTTGTTCCCATAGAGCCATACTGAGCAACAGTATCGGATGTGGCTGCGTGATAATGACTGAAACATTGCTAGCTGATGGATTAACACACTGGGAATCTTGGCAGCAACAGCCAAGTTTCTTATTGTTATACTGATGACATGCGCGATTTGTGATTTCCAGGTTAGATTTCCATCAAAGATAACTCCCAAGAATTTTATTTCACTCACTCTTTCAATTTATTTGCCATTGAGTATTAAGGGTCTTGAGCAACTCACATTTTTATGTTTGCTTTTATATATGATTACGGGAATTCCACTGATATTGCTGAAAAAAAATAAAGATAATAAAATAATTTTCGGTGGTCTGGGTCTTACGCTTGAGGCTGTGTGCAAACAAATCGAACTGCTGTCATTGTGATAGATATCACTACGCAACTAGAAGGCGAGTACGACTCCTCTTCGATGTGTCGTTGTCATTGATGCATGCGTTTTGATTTAATGAACGATGAAAACACAGTTTGAATAACGTTGACAAACTGCCATCACTGCCAAACCTCAATAGCTAAACAAATTTATGTTATGGAGTCATCGAACCTGAAAACGAGATTCAAAGATTTTGAAGTGTTGTGAATTCTTTTCATCAAACAACAAACTCATCCTAAACCAAATACGTACTTGGCGAGTTTTAATTACTATGTTCAATTCGTAATCATAAATATGTCAATCAAAAAATATTAGGAAATAAGGAAAAACAATTGACTCGGAACATCTGAATGTCCATTGTCGCACCATTGTCGAAACACCAGTGTCGGTCGAAAATAACTGTCTTAGTGTACGACGCAGAAACCGACACAAACACAGCATTGGTATGAAAAATGATAGGAAAGTAACAGATTTATAAATCATCTGAATTGAATCTGGAGTAAGAATGGTGCTGCTGTGGTAGTTGTACAACAGCACTTGAATATGAAATTGGTGCCGATATTTTAAAATCGTAAGCAGGGTTTTTGATTTATTTTATTTGCAAAGTCGGCATGTACAGATATACCAAAGACGATGCATATTATTGTTTTCTGAACTCATCCTGGTCAACTCCATTCTATTGATTTTCGTTTTTCATGCAAATTACAAGATTTAGGGCCTTTGAAAGCGATTGGGCAACGATGGAAGCCACTGTGTATTATGAATCGGTGCTGAAAAGTTGTGTAGTCAATTTTACCCACATTAAAAGTTATAAGTAATAATGAATCATATCCTACATATGTGCTCTATCCGTGTTATCCACATGCTACAAAACAGGAAAAATCAGTTTCCAACAAATCATGTAGTCAGAGTGAGCATAGATTTGGATCGTAATTCATCGTTCTAAATCTTAGTTTTCCTTATTTGCGCGAATCAGCGACATAGCAATTCTAACGCAGGCTATTTTGATTAAATTTTATACATGCCGGTATATATAATGCAAATAATACATTATTATATAGATTTTTAATATTTTATTAAAGATCTGGACGACCAGTGACGAATTTCTCGTTCGCTACAGTAGAGAAAAATTGAGATGACTAAAATTAAAAATTTTCGTCCTCAAAAACTAAATATCCCGAAAAAGTAGAATATTTCCATCCGCTGTCCAAGTTCCCACCACTGACTTTGACATCAACACGATCAAGTGCTACTAAATGTATCATCCCACTGTTGTGCGCAGAATTATGATTAGCACTCTCTCCGTCTGCAAATCCACGTAAAACCGGAATTCCGTTGACCTTTGAAAAACAAGGAAACTCTAAGTAAAGTTGGTCTGTAATGATAGATGCATGCAATGCATATGTCAATAATTTTTTAATAATATTATTATAAACCTTATTATTGTACGATCTTACCAGCGGACAATGTCTAATACCGTTAATGAGGACAAGTACGAAGATCAAAATATAGCTAATAATTGATAGAAAAAGAGTGTACTCTTCAAATGATGATTTCATTAGGAACTGAAATAACAAAATAAATGAAGTAATAAGTCGTCAAGGAAGCAACGCAAAAGAATTGAGTACTAATTTACTTGTTGGCTTGTTTTTATTATCTTTATTAGAGTATACTTAATCGCAAATGAACAATTCGTGACCAATCTTTCAGTTTCTACTCCAATCAGGCCATGTTGATCATTCAATTTTAAATCTTTTTCCTGATAAATACCCCATTTTAGGTACATTTCTCAAATCGAATCATCAAATCACCAAGCTCCTATGTGTGGGTGATAGATAAATCAGCAGACCGATTGAACAAAAAGTGCTCCCGAAGTATGCGAACCAAGATGGCGGACATCGGAACGTAACATGGGTATCAGGTTAGGGTTAGGCGATAATTTTTTTCCAATTTTCCGTATTTTAGTCCTATTATCAGTTCGAAGACTAGCCAAGAGCCTCCCGTAGTATTTATACCTAAAATTATGGCCTAACCCTAACCTAGTACACATATTACATTCCGATGTCCGCCATCTTGGTTCGCATACTTCGGGAGCCCCGAACAAAAACGTCGAACAATTCATGCTAATCTTGTTCGTTAACCGAATATGAAGGATAGTTCTGGGAAGCATAATCTCGTTTTTCTTAGAAAACTTGATCTTAGGCTTATTTCAAGCGTTTAAACTGTGATTTAAAAAAAATCCTAGTTGGGCAAACAGGAGCGAATTAGAATGAAAAAAAAACAAGATGCAAATGAAGTGGCCCGAGCTTCGGTTTAATAAAAATGCTTACGAGCGCACAAAATTTTCCAGAACTCGTCAACGAACTCGTGAATATTAATTATAAGTGGTCCATTGAATGAGGTCTTGAGTTGAACAAGACTAAGTTTTTTATGTCAAAAGTGGCATGACTGGTTATAATTATTATAAGATGTTTGATTTGAAAAAAAAAACGATACAATTTTGGGATTCTATGGCAGCAAAAGTCTAAGAAACTTTTTTGGGGTTATAGGTGAAGGAAAATGTAAAAAGAAACTACACAAGCCGCGGAATTCTTTTTAGATTTTGTATAAACTGATAGTTCCATTTTATTCAAGGTACCTCCACCCACCTGTCTGATTGATTTATTCTATTTTTGATAACATTTCATTTCGTCAAAATATTACCAGTGAACAACAAGATATAAATTTTTTCGTCTAAAAATCAAACAAAGTCATGTTTTTCTAAAAAATCACGAGTTGGCAGCAACAATCACATTAGCGGTATATATTTCGAATAACTTGTGAATATGATCTGTACATATTTCAATTGAGCAGGAAAATTTATATTCAGTGATATACTGGAGAAATTTGTTCTAAACATTATAAGAACACATTATAGCACCCTCGGCTTATGGTCTGTAAACTTTTACACCAGATATTACTTATGATATTCATTCCGTGTCATCGTGCTAGATGTATTAAACTAATCTACTCAATGTGCATCCGCCTTTTTGCACATTTTAACATAAAATTGGAATAAGCAGCACATTACCGTCACGGTTTCCATATAAGCTTTTACATTTTTTTGTCTTTGGTTAGATTATTACAATATAATTGAACAATTTATTATAATAAGCCAATTTTGAATTAATTAGGTTTCTCAGTTTTATATTCCCATTTCTGTTATTACCAATTAGAATATTTTTCAACTGATAGAGCCACGAAACCGAGTCTAAACGAAAGATTGCACCCATAAACTGTAAAATAATGTTTTATGTTACAAAGAAAGTATTTTTCCCAACGGAACAGAACAAACTCTCTAAAAATCGTTTAAATCTCAGGGGAATTTGAAATGCAACTTTGAATAGGCATGAAACCCTTTATTATCTTTCATTTCCTAATCTTGTTGTCACGGAAACATTTATTAGTTTTCTGTGGGTGGTTATTAAATTCGTGAGGTTATATCAAATTGGATGGACATAAGGCGCAGAAAGTAAGAAAGGTGCGAGCCCGAACCATAAATGTAAGTATATACAAATTATCTCTTCCCAATGAGAACAAAGAGAACATATATATAATTCACGTGAGGCCTATAATTGTTTTTTCCAAAAAATAATTCACCAGCCTCTTAGGTTATTGATTTACCTTTAAACACCTTCAATATTCTCACCGAATATTGTGATGCCATGACAATAGTGTGGTTAAAATATATATATAGTTATGCTGCACTATCGTACAATTTTGTAAGTTATATATATATAAATATATATATATATATAAATAACCCTCCATCAAAAAAACTAATGATCTGTCAACAAACAATAATTAAAATTGGTTTTGTTGGCTAATACGCCAGATGGCTGAAGCCCAATTCGTCAATACAGACGTGAAACGCAAATACAATTTCGTTGCTCCAAACCACATAGTATATACCCTTTTATTGAATTCCTAATGGGTTTGTGGGCTGAGTGCATCACCGGTATTATGTGATTATCTCTTAATGTTGCATGCTTCTATAACCCCCGTAGAGTAGTAGATCCGCGTCCGTAACTAATTGAAAACGCTTTTTGAATCATCTATTTCATTTCCCATTATGGACTCATCCCAGAAGCATATGTTCAGCCTAACAATAAATCTTCCCACATTTATACAGTAACCTTTGTAAACAATTTTTCTTTAGAATGACCTGGTTTAAATTACTTCATACAGTATGTAACGAGACATACATCGTGATGATGGTGAACATCACAAGCTCGACAATAATGAATTTCCAACGAACTCAAGCTATTTTTTCATATCTCAACGTACATTAACTGTTGCGTAATATTTTATGGTAATAGGGAATGATGCGAATCAGTTGTCCGCGACCGAGAAAATTAGTCGAGTTAAAAGAAATGAATCGGTCTGAAAACTTATACGAACAAACAATAAACAATTGAGCAGTACTCGAATTCAGCTGAGATGCAAGCTACTCGGCTGAGATAAATTATTTATGAACTTACATGAAGGTCGATGGTTAGCGGATTTTTGTTGTACAGTCTGTAGACTTGAAAATACAAGGAATAAACTCCACTAACAGGTGCCACAAACGTGCTGCTCTCCATATTGAACCCGTTTCCAATATTCACCAACACGTGATCAAAAGTAACGGTTGTTTTCCCATTCATAGCTGTATCTGGCGCAGTAAGGTCAATACTTCGTTTTGCTGAAAATGCAACTTTTCTACTGCGTCGGCCGACATTAACCAGCCCATCGCATACAGGTCCAGATATTTTATCCCAAAAGTTAGTCGGAGGGTCGGAAATGTTGTCATCGCCGGTAGAATCCAATTCAACACGGTTTGTCTTCAAAGGTTTTGGGTCGTCCGACGCTTGTTTCAATCCCACCACCTTTGCATCGCATACCACAACACATTGTCCTTCAAGTGCAATATTGGGATCAGGAATATCTTTGTTCGACCTCGTTGTACGGTCGTTGGATGAGTCGTATATTGAATCCGAAGAAGCTACAATACTCGTCCAGAAATTGGAACAGTATATTAAAATAATAACCGTACAAGTCATATTTAGTTTGGTAAATCCAGCATTGGTGATCTTCAGAAATACAGCCATTTTTGTCAACATATAAAGCTCTGGGAGAAATTTCGTATTTTATTACAAAACCTGGTTATTCTGTATCTCACATCATATTGCGACCTTGCGCATTAAAGGTGTGCTTATCTCGCATATCTGAAAAAGAATAATACTGGAAATATTCATTTATACTGAAGATTCATACTCGCCTAAAATAAATATATAAGAATAACATACAGTATGAATAATGTTCACGACCAAGATACTGACAGAGGTAAAAAAAAATTTAGCCACAATTAGAGCCTTCGTGCTGTAATCTGATTATTCCTGTCAAGTCAAAACACTAACATCTTATTTCTTTATCGCAGAACGCGTCCATCGGAATAAATTTTCATATACGTCACTGATATAAATGAACGATTTTATGGAAATCACATCCACTTTATATACTAATCTAGGGCGAAATTCTTGCCCAACTGTCAACGAGCGCGATTAGGTCTTAGCCTTTCTGCACCGATATTTTCATAAATAATTCATTTCTCGCTTTCGCCTGTCAAGCGAAGTCGACTGCCCGTGAGAAGTCATCCCTGTACTAAATTTTAACAAGCTTGATGCAATCGTTTTTCAAACTTCTAGGATTCATATTCCACCGCAAGGGCAATGTGGTCACAAAGTTAATAATCAATACAGCAATATTCTGTCTGGAATGTAACCTCATGTTCTCATGCCGCATTATACTTTAGAAGTGGTCTATGTAGGCGCTTTTTGCCCCGTGGCATACGAGCTTGATCAAAAATCGTTCACATGTTCAAAGTTTAAGAAACGGTTTTTCTACGTTTTGGTATGTGGGTCCACAATTCGTGAAAAAGAAATATTACATAGAGTATCAGTGATCAGGAGTCCCATTATAAGTAAGTATAGGACTGTAATATGAAGTAAATAATATAATAAAAGTAATATTAAAATATAAGTAATAAAAAGTTTGTATTATATCACTTATCAAATTTCCTGATCGCCCACGTTTTTCATTTCCTATAAAAACCCAATATGAAACTATCCAATACTGCGCTTGTCTAGCCAATTAATCCTTAATTAGTCATTAACTATTCCAAAGTCATCCCGCTATCTGTTTTCTAATTTATTCACTGGTAAGGTTTGACGAGGTGCTCAAAATAAATTTTTATAATGCTGATTTGCTGATTATGGCATACGGAAACCCTAAACCTTCAAGCATAGTTTTCAAATTTATCATCAAATATGGTGAGTTTGACTCTTAAATTATATATCTTAACACTATATCAAAACCCACACCCCATCACTGAGCCAGTATATATATACCAGTAGTGCAAATACTATTTAGGTTTTAGATTTAAGTGGGTATTTCGTTTTAATGTATCATTTAGCAGTCTAAATAATAACACCCAAAATTCGACAATATCACTAAATATATTTACAAAAAAAAGCATATGTACCATTTTATCTTAGATCAGCATAAATCGCATTTTAAAACAATCCAGCAAACGGGTTTTCAAAAAAAGAACTTTTTTAAGTTGTTGGATTAACTACTGAGCAAATACTATAATTTCATTAACTTGAAATGGCAAACTTTACACAAAATTCACTTTATTTAATCACATACGTTAAAAGTAAAAATCAACAAACAGCCTTACGTATATATTATTTCTTGTAACAAATGGTGAAAATATTACCAAGGACACATTGTTAGACAAAAGTCGTGTAGTTTGGGCAGCGCAGTCAAAAACTTGAGACCTGCCTGATATATCCACGAAGCCTTATCATCTGTAATCTGTAACAAGACGCACGTAATCGAAAATGATTATATTTTCAAAAAGTACATACCAGTGCAGATGATCAGTCGAATGCACCCATAAATTCACGAACACTACTGTGAAAGGAAAAACTAGGAACCTTAATTACTTTGTTGGATCGTCTGTAAAAACGATTGCTGATACTATTTGATGGATGTAACTAATTTTGTTCGCCTACTTCACATCAAGTTGTGTAAAAGGACTGAAGCCTATGGGTAGGGGGTGTATTTACTTGGCTGACACAGGCAGTCCTCGAACTCGTAATAAAACTAAAATAAGGAAAATTGGAATAAAATTATGGCCTAACTCTAACCTGGTACATACACTACGGCAGTACCAGTTTCTGTACTTTCCTTCAAATATCTGAGACTGGTTATAAACAACCGCGTTGCGGGTTACGCTGGGGTGTTCATGTTAATGATATTCGTCTATAAAGAATATTTTAGATATTCTGAAAAGTGTTTAAAACGACACTGATTTTCATAATTTTCCTTAATTATATTCGTCAACGCATTTTTTGCCTATTTGAATCGTAAATATTTGCGGCCATCTCGTGAAGTAAAATAAAAACGGTAGACATTGTCAAAGTTTACTTCACTTTGCGGAAATATATAATGCCAACGTAAAAAATAATTGGTTTCTGCGAAACTAACTACTTATCCTTCTTCTATGCTTTTACATATTTAAACCATGTATGTCTGAAGAAGTCTGACCTTGGCCAGACAAAACGTTACAGAAATATATATATTTGTGTTAGTGTGTAGCAAGACTCTTTATTATCGTAAAAAATTTTTGCATTTTGCATAGTAAACCAGCCATAAGTTTTGCGTACATTATTATCATTTTAAATAAGAATATCTTCTTAACGACATCAAGAAAGAAACGCTATCAAACAAATTTTCATTGAATGTTTAGTTTCCGCGCCTTTGAGCAACTGTGTCTTGAAGGAATATGATCAAAAATAAATCTGCCAAATCAATATCGTTTTGGATTCTAATAATTGGTCCAAACACTTAGTCTTAGGGCATACTGTCAAATTGAAACACCAACTTTACAACCCAGATGGATACCATCTGATGCATGCTGAATGCTGATAATGCTCAAACGGATAAAGACCCTAGATTCCATAATGGGATTACGAGTGAAAAGTTCGAAGGAAAACAAAAACAAAAAAAATTGCCAAAATATCAATAAATACTTCGCACGAGAATTTTTTTTTTAACTTTTTCAAATTTTTCGAAAGCATCAGCTTAGAGCCCGACTGGAAGTTTTGGGCTTACTTATTTACAGGTTAAATGGGTATACTACTAACCACTTGATAATGCCGGAATTATGATCAGATGGGAGAAAAAATCGCTGTTTTGGGTATTTGGTAATTCATGGTCGTAGAATAAGAATTCAAAATTATTTTTTGATCAGACCCCCCATATAGGAGAAAACAAATGTCACGGAATTGATACACTCGTCAACGTGATAAATTTTTTTTTCAATACTCACACTCGCACTCACAGTAGGTGCCAGAAGTGCTGGAAAATAAGGAAAGGATGCCTACCTGAAATAGAATTACCAAGGTATGAGAGCTTTTCCCATATATGATTTTTTTAAATTAGTCTAATGTGCTGTTTAGCTGACCGTCAACTATTTACTATTATAGCAGTCATTGCTAGGTATGAAGCTATGATGTGTGATATATCCACACAGTTGAGTAAATTAGTAATTGAAATCTTATTCACCCTTCCCCGTTAGTTGGAATACACTAGGACTACCCATGCAAGTTCTCTCTTTTAAAATTATTCTGTAGGTATATTCTGGACGTGGTTATTATAATACTTATTTGATATAATTTTTGTGGTGATAAATTTCAGAATCTACCTTAATAAACCATATTCAGATATATTTTGAGTATGTTTGGGAATAGTAAAAGTAAAGCGAAACTATTTGTGATCACTTAGCGTATTGTGTAAGTCTGTGAGTCTCTGAAGCAATCATCTAATTTCATGATGATAAACTTATGCAATTTAATGAAAGTTAAGCAAATTCGTTTATTTTTACAGTTGTATCCCCACAGACTGTTCCTTACTCCCAGCCGAAGAGTTTTCTGAAAGTACCGGTAAGTGGAAATTCCCAGATGTGTTTTGTAGTTTGTTATTTGATTGTGATTCAAGTTCTAAAAATTTGGTTCTTAAAAGTTGTATCTTCATTCAGATTTTCAAAAAGATTGATGTTCTGTAATGATCATGTGACAAAATGAATTTATGAAAAATTTATCACAATGTAGAATTCGAAATACAAGTCTATTCAGATGTGTACTTAACATGTTACAATATTTCTGTACCTCAACCATTCACGGTTTGAACTAAAGATATAGTTATTTCAACAGTGTTTTTTTACCCTCGTTTTCTGAAATGTTTAAGATTCAGCATATTCATCTTCATATATGCTCAACCTGATCCAATTGCCGCAGGCTATGATGTTGGAACTGGGAACTCAAATCCAGGTATATTATTTTTCTTAGTGAAAAATATAAAAAAACATAGGTATATAATTAGGGTTACCATATTTTATTGACTTCAAAGCGGGACGCCTTTAAAGACACGACCCTTTAGCTGTGATCCTGTAACTTTACAGTTTCCGATTTTACTACATAGGCCCACATTTGAAGCCATCCCGGCTGTCTTCATTGACCATATTGTCATCGAGAGTTCATGCGCATATTCTCTGTCTAAATATCAGGTTCAGCTCGAAAAATAGAAAGGAATAGACGCTAACGATACGAATGATCCGAATTCAGATTTTTTATGTACAGCAAAAGACATAAAGAAATAGTCTGCTGTTTTCAAGCATTGAGGTTCACTTATTCGCCTAAGCATGCTTTTCTGTAGATAACACCTTCAAAAAGACGTTGTTTAATATTATATTCAAGTGAACGTCAGAACCAATTAAAATTGATTTTACATGTGATACGTTCGCTAACAGTGTTATCGGGAAACAACGAAACAAACAAAATAACGCACCCACCTTCAGTAAGTAGGCTAGCGTTGCGCTACACAGCAACAGCAGTAACGAGAACATGTACGTGTATTATGCTGGATGACTGAACGCCAAAGCGGGACTTTTGGCTGACATGTCGGGACGGCGGGACACGACGCTAAAAAGCGGGACTGTCCCGCATAAAGCGGGACGTATGGTAAGCCTATGTATAATAAAATTACAGACAATTGAATTACTTTGCATGTGACAAATGTAAAATCACTCCTGAGCACAGCTTTTAAATGTAGCATATAGTTTCACATGGTTTAGTATTCCCATTTCACATTCATACATTT